TAACAAAGTATGTGTATCATTTTATTGTCAAAGTTGATTATAGGCACGGTCAACAGGATGCTACAAATGCTTTGAAGCGTCTTTTAATTGGTCAGTTTGTAAAATTTTTTCTTCTAATTGGTCCATCAAATGCTTCAAAGCAATTTGTAGCGAGACTTTGACCATAGTCTATATTGTATCACTGCATTGAGATACTTTATATAAAGCAGCTTTTAATATGCACTGATTCATTGTAGTATGAATGATCAAATTCACCATAATAAGTCAGTAGGAATGTGTTTGCACTTATTTCACTATTGTTAATGGCGAATTCGGCACACGTGCTGCTCTAGTGCTGTCTTGGCATAGTACGAGTGTAGAACCAGTTTGGTGCTATGCCAAATTGCACTGTCAGAAACATCAGTACATTTCTTGAACTCGTTTAGTTCATTCCATAAACCGGAATCAGACTATGCATTGAAGAATGAGATTGAAAGATTAAAGTTTGACCAATCAGAACCAAAGGAGCCAAAATTTCTTTGTCCTCATTGGTGAAATTTCAGACCTTCGTTAATCTTAATCTTCAATGCATAGTCTGATTTTGGCCTTAGTCCGAATATAAATTCAGCACTATATTGGGTCAGTTTTTATTTGCAAAATACGACAATCTTAATGCACTGATACAATGCGTACAAGCCAAATACCTGGCACTGAAAAAGTTTGTACGCAGTGCGCACTAGTGCAGTCTGCCGAATTCGCTGTAAGATTCACAAAATCTCTACATTCAGTGGAGAGAAACAATCTTATAAATTTAATTTGCACTGAAGTGAAATCGATTTCAGTGGAAACTAGGTCATTGTAAATAATAATTGCTAACTTTAAAAATATAAGTTGTTGACTTTAACGATGACAAATATTTAAAATATATTTGAATTACATATAGCAGCATATGGATACAATTTTTATATCTTGATTAATAATCTTTCCAGATGTTCATGTAATGGGTTACATAGAACGAACACAAGGAGATGGCATGGAAAATGCGACGGTAGATAGAGTCGAAGTTAGGCAAAGTCGAAGTCGCCTGGGAGACACTCTCATTTACCATCCTACAAATTTGAAACAATTAGAATCAACATCTCCGGTTACTCCTATTGGTACAATAGTAAAGTTAGTACCAAAAAATATTAGTAATATAAAACAAGAGAAGCATATTTTGCATTCTTTAAAGTCAAAAGACCCAAAATTTATACCGTATGAACCATATAAGGCAGCTGTAAATCCAATTGTGCCATTTGAAAAAAAGAAAAAGTTATTTAAAAAAAAATCTAGTTTAAATGCTACAGTTGCACAAATTGCTGCAATGAAGATTCAGGATGACGATACAAGGTTGAAGGATTGTATGAAAGAAAGCAAAGAGAAAACATCAGAAGATGAATGGAATAATGAAAAAAGAATATATGAGTCTGAAATTCGCAAATTGAAAGAAGAAAATAGTCAGCTTGAAACTCAATTGAAATTTCAAGTACAGGTATAACAATGTACATTAATATTTTCAAATTATTAATATTCTTAAAAGATTCTTATTAAGATATTCAAATTATTAGTGTTTTTATAAGAAGCTTATTAATATTAATATTATTAAATTGCTAAAAAAATCAATTTAATATGTGATATTGCTACTCTAGTTTTGTTCTGTCTGATTGCGTTTCAACTTTTTAAAACTCAAAAGATTTTAGTGCACGATTTGCAAAATTGGATGTATATGTATTTATACCGAAATATTTAAACATTTAAGATCCACTGTCACTAAAAAGTAGAATTTCTCTTAAGGACGTTCTCTGAAAAAATCCATTTTCTTTAGATTTTTCTGAAACTTATAGAAAAAGCCTGTTTTAGTGTCCTGAATATATGTGCTTTAAAATTTAATACCCAGAGCGGGATTAAAAATCAAGATATTCTACTTCAAAATTGAAGTGTTTAAAACACACACACACACACACACACACACACACACACACACACACACACACACACACACACACACACACACACACACACACACACACACATGAACTTGCGACTGCTGTCGATTCGGTGTTTAGATTCAAATCTCATTGATCGATATGCGCAATATTGCGCTTTTTTTCTACTTTTTTCTGCACAAAAATGTGAAACTTAAATGTACATTCGTTGTTGATAAGGGTTGCAAAGTAAGTTTTTTTCGTTAGTTTTATGCATTTTTTATGTTTTTGTTATGCCTATCATTTTTTTCATTGTGCAATAATTTTGTGTGCACATTTGGCTTTATTATTCTGTAAGCAACTTTTTCTGTTATATTATTTTATCACATTATTTAGGAGATTATCGTGGAAAAAGTTAGGTGGTCTATAATGAATCATTTTGATGTAGTGAACAATGAACCATTGTATATTGTAGACCACATAACCTTTTTTACGATAACCTTCAAAATAATAATTCATTGCAAATGCTACTAACACTGTTCGTATAGCCAATAGCGCGATAGTGATAGTGAGTTCCATGAATGCTACCCATGCACTACCTCGAAGGCAAGAGCGTTGGTAGCGCAAGTTATGGCGGCAAACGCTACCGATAATGACGTCACGGATGGCGTTCGTAGCGTTGGTAGGGAGCTCTCCGAACAGCGTTAGCGTTCGATAGCGCTAGTAGCGAGCTCTCTGAATGTACCTATTGTAATAATTATTTTATTGAATTTGGGAGAGTCCGTAAGAAGATTACATTATTACTATTTAAATTTAAAAAATAACTTAAAAGTTATTGTTTACAGTATGTAGCCAACTAAATGGTTCATTGTTGGATCACTTACTCTAAATAGGGATCCTATGTATACAGGGTGTCAATTATGTACCGGGACGGTCAAATATTTCGACAACTTCCAACATTAAAAAAAAACGCTGAAACACGTGAAACGATTTTTCAAAAAAAACGCTACCGATAATGACGTCACGGATGGCGTTCGTAGCGTTGGTAGGGAGCTCTCCGAACAGCGTTAGCGTTCGATAGCGCTAGTAGCGAGCTCTCTGAATGTACCTATTGTAATAATTATTTTATTGAATTTGGGAGAGTCCGTAAGAAGATTACATTATTACTATTTAAATTTAAAAAATAACTTAAAAGTTATTGTTTACAGTATGTAGCCAACTAAATGGTTCATTGTTGGATCACTTACTCTAAATAGGGATCCTATGTATATATATACAAATATATATGTATATAGGATCCCTATTTAAAGCTTATTCGAAAGTGGTATTTTTATTCACTGTAAAAAAGTTTTTCTTAACAATTTTTTGAAACAATGAGACATAAAACTTGATATCACAAGGAATAATATGAAATTTGTCTAATATGGCTTCCGGTATTCGTTTTTAAGAAATTATTGAGCAAAGTAAGTAAAGTCGCTATTTTTTCGACCAGCAGCAGTAGCGAAGGCGGGAGGCATTTTATATTGTATAAAAAAACTTGTATAAAAACCTTAACACTTATGAAATCTTATACTATATAAAAGTGAAATAAATTTTGACAACTATCGGTAGATGTGTACAGAATATGGGCCCAGTTATAAAATATGGAGATAAATTAAAAAAACTAATTAAAAATATGGAAAGCTGCAAAATGATATCTTATATGTGAGACATGGAACAAAAAATTATATGTTAAAATTTATTATAATGTATAATTTATGCCAGGATGTATGTGTATATGCACACAGGTTAATGGAGAATTAAAGAATTTATTAGTTGCCGCAGTGGGAGAGGATCTAGAAACAAGAGTTCATTTGTTAACCGAGGACAAATTGCAACTTGCGAGAGCCCTCTTGAACTCAGCCAAACATTTGTCTACACATCAAGAACAAATAGAATGGCTAGCAGGTCAATGTGAAGTTTGGAGAAGTAAATTTTTAGCTAGTAGGTAATTGACAACATTTTCAACATGTACGGAATTTTTAGTTTTTGTTTTGGTTTGCATCTGTTACATTGTTTCTTGTTAACGTTAGTCAAAAATAACGATAATAAGCACTCTAATTTATTGCTAAAAAATGATGCTTATTATTTAAGTTTAATGGTGGAGGATTTGGCAAGATGGAAAGCTGCACTTTGCCAGAGAACAACAGAATTGCAGGAAACTATAAAACGATTGTTAGAAGAACGTAACACTATTCGTGATACATCGTTCAAAACCTACAGGTATATATTGCAGGTGTTATATAATGGCTATACTATATTCATATAGTTTTATCAAACTGTAAATTTTACTTATCCAGAATGTTGACAATCCTACGAGAGAAATTCGATTCCATAGGAACAACGTCCGGTAAAAAACACGAATTAGTCAGCACCAATATTGTTGATCTTGCGCAGGGATGTTGTCAACTTGTGGAAATTCTCAGAATCAGTCTTTTAAGTGGTATACCAGACTCAGAATTACAAAAAGAGCTAAATATAACCGGTTTAAATATGAAAACGCTTACAGAGAACAACGCGGAAAAAGTAGAGTTATTTGATTTTTTTATTCCAAATGACGCGAGACATAATATTTTGATATAACGAGTTTAATATCTCAATTACAGTTACTGAATAAAAAGTTACCTATGATTGAGAGAGATGTTGCCTGTACTGCGGTGATGGGAGCGGCAGTTGCGGTTGGCGGACAAATGTTTCTTCCACGATGCGATGTGAACAATATGACGTGTTGTCCACATTGCAGCGGCGAAATTAAACAGATTTGAAAGTAATAACACTTATATAGTATCTTTTTCCTTTATAATTAATGATATGATGATATTTTTGTCAATATTGTTAATTATATAGAACAATATGTTAATTGTATGTTAATTTAACGATCTTTTTTTTATCCATCTGTAACCTAAGACCAAACTTTGTAATTGCTTTATTATTATTTATTTTTTAGTTAATTTTATATATTTGTTAACACACTTACATAAATTATATAAGGGAAGGTGGGAGAATTGTGCGCACTTAAGAATTTATTGTTGTGAGGTAGTTTTTGAAGTTGAAATCTGTATAAGAAAATACAAACCATAAACATATAACTCCTCTATCAATATGCATTCTCATAATGAACAATTTTTCATTTGATAATGTTGTACTTGGCAAAAAGTGAAAAAAATTTTCGTGCGCCGAATAATTGTACGCAAAGCAATAATGGTAGGAAATTAATTAATAAAATTAATGTTTCGTAGAATATTGATGAGGAAATGAGAAGGCATATTTATTAAGCCAACTTTCTGCCTACCTTTCTGCCCAATTTTTAATTTTTTTTTATGTAATATAGATTCAAATAAATATTCTTTTTTTCTTAAAATAAACTAAATATTTTCTTAACATACTTTACTAAATAAACATACTTTTTCTATATTAAGCGTTTGCTCTATATAAATCATTAAATAAAAAAAAACGTATGATGAATATTTTTGCGCGCGAGAAGAAGATACAACGGAAGCGACAACGCGGCGGGAAAGATGTCAACATTAAGGGGAAGGAGATAGTAAGTATACACGGTAAGTGTGTGAGCTCGCATGGTGGCGCGGTGGTGAGGTGATGACGTAAAGTCCCTATAATGAGAACCAAGCATGAGGGGTGACGCCCTCGTGATTGATCACCGCCATTTCTAGGCGCTTTCGATATGAATCTGTGAATTGGTGTGAGCAACTGTTTCATGGTGTAGCAGTACAAACAGGCGCGAACGCGTCTATTTGTGCCGTTTCCGGCCGGCGCCAGGCAATGGCGTCTTTCCGGTCTTATGTCTCGACTCTCATAGGGACTCTAGTGACGATGGCGACGGCTGCGATGGTCGACGGTGGCGGGCGTGTAATTCATCGTTATCAAGTTAAATTATTAATTTGGAGCACCAACAACTGCGCAGTATTACTCTCAGTTGCTCGTATTAGCGAGTTTAAATTGTTAGTTATATATCAGAGAGTTCAATAATTATAATATATAATTTTATTTCACGTTTTCTTACGTTATATTAACGTTTATAACTGATTAAAAATGCAAATAAAATTGTCTAGTTGGCTTACTCTTTTACATTTACCTTATTTAATTATAATATCTTAAGTGTCTGAACAACACAAGATATATATTTCTTGATTTCACCTCGTATACTTTGATTTTGTATGACTTTGACAGCTATCCCATTACCGCTCATTACACACGCATTAATATAGATGATGAACCGCGCTCCGAAACTTTTTGCGTCTTCCGTAAAACATTGAAACAAAAGCGTCACAAGCGCACTGTTCGCGTGTACAACTCGAGGCTGTTTCCCTAAATTAAAAATGTTTAGTATATACGTATACATACACATATATATATATATATATCTCTCGCTGTCTTTTTCTCTCTTCTTATTATAATATAGTATTATAATATAGTATATTCTTATTATAATATATAAAACTGCATATACTATTAAAATATTGTTTTTACTTATATCATTTCTACATTAAATGATTATATTGTAATCATACATTATAGAATATAAGGAATGTATTTTCATTTTTGTGAGTCCTGTTATCAAAAATTTTATAAATGATGCTTCATTTTTCTCATTACTATTTTCATTCTTATTTTTTTACTTAATCATTTGAAATATTTTTTTACATTTTCTTCGTATGTATTGCGTTTCATAGTATCTTTTATAACGCTTACAAGCAGTGTATAATACTGTACACAATTGCATCCATTTTACATCTAGTTTTTGTACATATACAACTGAATGTTACATACATTTTCCTAAATATGTGGTTTAGTCATCGCAATATCTTACGTCATAATATAATATGCGATTATGCTTTCAATTTGGCGATAGTATCGTGCACACTCTCTATTACGCTATATATATACGGACGTTCCATGGGATTGACTTTTAACATCAACAAAATTAAATTTTGCATATCCTAAAACAGAAACATAGAATTTATTTATAAAAAAATTCATACTGTACTGACAGAAGTATGTCCATAAAAAATGGTGTAAATATTTAAAAAAATAAATAAAACAAAGATTTTGAATATATGTGCGTCCGCGGCTATACGTGCATATGTATGTGTATATATTCAAATTGCGCGCTCTTTCTACTTAAAATAAAAAATGGATCATAAAAATGTTATTTGTTTATAAAAATAATGGTATTATTTAATAAAATAAAAATAAAAATAAAAATTGAATTAAAATTGTATATAATAAATAATAATGTGCAAAATGCTTAAATATATTGTCAGAATTATTGTAGAAAAATACATTTACAATTTTTTAAACTTTTATGAAACAAAGTAGGATAGACCGGGGAGTAAAGATCCCCGGGGAAAATGGTCCATCCATTGTTTCCCGGTAATAATGCATTTATTAGAAAATTCCGCCACACCATTTATCAACTAATAAGAGTGGAAATCTCACGCAACGCAGTTCGTTGTTGCTTGATAACTATCAGAAAGCTTACACGGACGTGCTCATGCGTTTGAGAGCCAAAAGTAAAATATTAGCGTCGCAGTTATTTTCGTCTAAAGGGATCATTTTTGCAACTAGATAGATTAATATTACTTAATTAAAAAAGTGTATTTATTAATCTTATTCTATTGTTTTAATAGTGCATGGTTATTAAAACGGTTATTTCTATTATACTTTTTTAATAACAATGTCGCAAAGTTTACTTTTGTATTGTTGGGGTAAAAAATGCCAAGGTTGTTCTTGCTATCTTTAATGCTGATTCTACAATGAATCAGTAATCCTAAATCTTATCAGTGAAGTTAACCAATAGCCAACTTGTGCGACTAATGCTGATTGGCTAACTTCATCGGTTAAGACTAAAGCGTCGTCTACAATGAACAGTAGCAGTAGAGGCTGTAGACACATTGGAAGTAAGCTGGTTTTCCGACCCAGCCAGAAATAATTGATCGATCAACGTCAAATCAATGCTGATTCAAGGTTGCTCGATGTCAAATCGATATTAATTCAACGTCGATAGACGTTAGTTCGATATTGATCGATCAATCTGTAATTAGAGTTGTTGTAGTAGAGTAGTAGTATATTATAGAATGTCTCTAGAATATTGTTAGGTGCGTACATAAGACATTCTGCTGACATTGTCAGAACGTTTCTAAGATCATTACCAGAAGATTTTAGATTTCAAATAATATTCTGGCGACATTCTGGTGATATTCAGTACTGTATAGGATGCTGAACATGTATTAAAAGTTTAATAATGTAATTTAAAATAATGATAAAAGAAATCCACAAGATTAAAATTTTATGAGAGATGCTTCATTATGTCCAATTCATCAAAAAATTCACATATTATTATTAAAATAAAAAGAAACAAAATTTTGAAATTTAAATCTATGAAGCATGAGAGAAATGAGATACTAACAGTGGCTAGACCTAAAAGAACCATAATATATAACAGATTACAACCTTATTATACGGGGTATCTTCTGGAAACTTTACGTGCGCACTCATCACAGCAAGAGCTACACTGTCGCCTCGTTCGTAAACAGTATCAAAAGGAGATTTAAAATAACATAATGCGTACAGTATACATCCCAATGACTAAAAAATATATTACATATATTACATTCAAAGCACGTGTCATTTACATTAATGCAAGCGTAATTGCTTCTTACCCAGATATCTGTTCGTTCGTCAACCATACAATAACTTTCAACATTAAATAGTTCTGGAGCTCTATATGGCATGGAACATCTTTCAGTTGCTAAGTCCTGTAAAGTCCGCGCAGCTTGAGTACTGCATACTTTAACTCTAGCAGTTGCTACAGAACCTAAAGAATTATTTTATATTTAATGATAAATTTCATATACATAGTTACTAACTATACTAAATATAATAAATAATATAATATATTATATAGGACCGTACATGTGATAACACAAACTATAGAAATCAAAGCCTTAAACAGTCTAGCTGGATCTTAATGCTTGTATGATTCTTATGTGAATTTATATACTACGTATGTAGTCCCACAGAAACGCGCGCCGAGAAATTTTCGGTCTCTTGAAACGCTAACTCTATACTAAACTACCGCAGTAATATCACGACGAATTGATTAGCAATTTAACAAATTTTTGATGCTTATTCGCATCTTCGAAACGATCTTAATAATGATGAATAACATATTAAAATCTGTAAATAATTAATTCTTATTGCGAAAAATATTATCTTGGCCGGGAGTCGAATCCGGATCTCTTGCATTCCGTGCTAGATGGAATGCAAGAAATCCGGATTCGATTCCCGGCCGAGGTAATATTTTTCGCAATAAGAATTAATTATTTATGCAATTTCTCCGTTTTTCTATACGTCTTTCTTTTTTTGTAAAATTTGTGTCCCCCCTCCCTCTTTTTCTGATTCATCTTTATCTGGCATGTTAACCCACGTCTCCTCGTCTTTGTATTCAACTCTTCTTCCTCTTCTTAGCCTCTCTCTTCCTATTTCCATTGCCATTGCATAATTAATCAAGGGCACATTATCTAAATACTGTATATTTATCGTTTGTTTATATTTATTGTCTATTCCTTTAATACCCCTATTCTACCTTCCTACTTTATAGCTTACTTTTCCTACACTTTCTCTACCTCTATATCCTCCTACCAATCTTATTTATTCATAATCATCTTACCTACATAATTTATTGTCCTGAAAAAATTAAAAATGTTTCATCTCTTTTCAAACACACATGCTTTCACTCATGCCACCTAACCAAGTCCATAATAAAATTTAATATACCCAAGTCCATAATAACAGGTATTCCAACATCGTTAAGCACTATATTTGCAGTTTTTAAATCTCTATGAGCAAGAGGTTCTGGTTTAGCTTCATGAAATGCTTTTACGCCTTCACATATCTGTAAAAATATGCTGAGGATATCTATAGGATTCATATAATCATAATTCTTTGCTCGTCGTTCCAAATCATTAGCTAATGTTCCTTTCTAAAATTACAAACAAATAAATTGGTCTATTATAAAATGTATTACATTTAAAATAATATATTTTTTGAAAATTATAGTTACTTACATGATAATATGGTAAAACAATTAATATTTCGCTTGTTGTATTCACGATTGGATCAGCAGTACCTTTGCAAGTTGAATCTAAACATTCTATAACATTTGAATGTTTTATCAATTTATAATATTCAACCTCTTTTGTTGCTAATTGCTGATCTTCTGGTCCATGACAAACAATTTTCTTAATAGCATACTTTTTATGTGTGACGATATCTTCAACTAAAAATACTGTGCTAAATCCACTAGAAACATAACGTAAATCTTATTTGTGCTACCAGCTATAACACATTTTTATGGTTATTAATTTTTCTATAATAGTTACAAGATACTGTAAATATAGTTTTGCATAAAGAAAATCTTGTTTTTCTTGCATTGAATAAGTTCAGATATAATTGTTTAGAAATAATTTTATGTGCACAACTATTATAAAACATGTATTATATATGCAATAAAAAAAAATAATGTGATTATATAAGTAAGTATATTTTAACCATAAATAATCGCGTGTGTGTTTACTGTTTAATATATACTTGCCCATCTCCGAGGTGTTCACAAACTTTATATTTCCTCGAGTTTATCGTAATGATTTCTTTAGTGCATATACAACCCATTCTTAAAATTAGATTTAAACCTAAGCTATTCATCGTTGTTTATTGTCATTGTAATAAAAACAAAAAGAATCTCGCGAGATTATCTCGCTATTTTCATTTCTAAGGTAACATTAGATGCTTTCCAATTGCTTAACACAAACGTACACAGGAATACACAAAGTGTAGCATTGTGCACGATTCGATTGGAACAGAACAATTGCTTTCCATTTACATTCGATCACGATTCTCAGATAATCCTCACTTGTGACGTTGTAAACTTAGTTGAATGCGCATTCCTTTATTTCCTTTCCCATTCAGACCATATGCTGGATTCACACTGCATCCGATGTGCGTAGTACGACGCTCTGCAACCAATCAGAAAACAGGATTCCGATGATACGAAGCAAAATCCATCGGAATCTTGTTTTCTGATTGGTTGCAGAGCATCATACGACACACATCGGATTCAGGGTGAATCCAGCAATACGCATATTTTGATGCGCACTAATGCTGGATTCACCCTGCATCCGATTTGCGTCGTACGCTTCTCTGCAACCAATCAGAAAACAGGATTCCGATAGATTTTGCTTCGTATCATCGGAATCCTGTTTTCTGATTGGTTGCAGAGAAGCGTACGACGCAAATCGGATGCAGGGTGAATCCAGCATATGGCTATCTTCGTCTTCCGGGTATCGATCACGAAACTTTTTTCTTGGGATGAAAAGTGGAAAGTGAAAAATTTCTCCATTAACTTCAAAAGTTAAAATTTTCACTTTTCACTTTCCATCCTAGGGATAGAGTGAAAATTTTAACCATTAAAGTTAATGGAGAAATTTTTCACTTTTCAATTTTCATCCTAGGAAAAAAGTTTCATGATTGATACCCTGAAGACGAAGATAACCTTAGCCCGGATCCTCATACAGACACTGGCGCTTTGACACAGAGCACTGATTGGTAAAAAGTCGGTTGTGGGGGTAAAATTTACCCCCATCAGCCGTTTTTCACCAATCAGCGTTCGGTGTCAAAGCGCTGTTGCCTGTATGAGGATTCGGGCTTAGTTGTGGTAACTTCTGGTTGGATAACGAAAAAACGCCCCAAGTGCACGATGTAAACTAGGCCATGATAAAAAGACAAGGGTATGCTCATGCGCATGACCAATCAGATTTTTGTCCTTGCTACGTCACAACGAGTGGCTTACGCCACTGTTCAG